CTAACACAACAGGAAATCACCTTCTTTTCTTCCCAGCCCCTCACAGCTCTGTATATATCCTCAAAATCTGCCCTGAAAGGTTGGGAGACACTCCAGTGAAGATTTTAGGGGTGCAGCGAGATCTGCAGGGGAGAAGAGAGGAACGTAAAGCCTGATTGGATGCATTTAAAGTACATTTAACACACATATAACACACATGGCTTTCCCCCAAGGAACCCTGGAACTATAGCTTACTCATCACAGAGCTACAATTCCGAGAACCGTTAACAAAATACAGTTCCCAGGATGCTCTGGGGGAAGCCTTGCACTTCAAATGAGCATTGAATGTGCTTTAAATGCATGGTGTGGATGTGTCCTGGTTGGCTGCACACGATAACAAATATTGTCTATTACAAGTAACAAAAGAGAAAAAGCAGGATGAATTCATACTCAACCTCTGCTGCCTCTGAGCAAACTGGTCCAAACAAGGCAGAAATGTGTTCTTTCTGAAACTGGTTGATGAAAGCATGCAGAGACTTCTTTGCTTCACACCCAGAGTCAGCATAAATAAACTCCAAGCTGTAATTGCCTAGGTAAGATGGATCCGCATTGACCTTATTGATGGCAATCTCGACAGCAGAGCATAACCTTTGGCCACTCAGGGGATGGGAGATATTCCAAGGAGCCTGAAAGGCTATTACAAGCTTGGGCATTTCAAGACCACTAGCAGTGTTAGTGGAATAGACTGCAGTAGCAAATGAGATCACTGAACCATAGTAAATGTGGAAGAAATTCCGTGGGCATTTGCTCATGTGCCACCGCATCACTGAACCAAATACTAAGCTGCTCTCCAATTTGCAAACCTTATGTCGTCCTTTTCTCTGTGTTACTTATACCACCGCTTGAAATGATTATATCAACACCTCTGCCTGTAGCATGACATGTCATCAACAGTTCTAATTAACAGAATCCTTGATCACCAAAACAGCTTCCTTGCAGGACTACCTCCAATCTTGATGTGTCAAAAGGTCAGTTTAAAACTTTGGAAGAGGTATTTTTGTCGTTGCTGCTGACTTTGCTAAACTCTGCTTAAATTAACTGAGCCAACAGGAAACATCCAAGGGAAATGTTGGTGTGTGTACTCCTTTCTGTAAAATGAGTGTTTACGGAACACCTTGTTTACAAAATTTCAGGATCTGGCGAAGTGTCAGGTATTATTTGTGCTCCGTTGTTACGGCAAGTACAATCTAGAAGGATGCAATTATGTGCTTGCAAATAATGTCCCTGGTGGCTTAAAGAAGAGTTGAGTGCAAACCTCTATGAGGTTGCCCGTCATGAGTGATCCAGATAATGGAAAACAGTACCCTACAGCTTACTGGATGGTCATAGAATCATAAAATCATAGAGTTGCAAGGGATCCTAAAGATCATCTAGTCCAACCCCCTGCAGTGCAGGAATATACAGCTGTCCCTTATGGGGATTGAACCTGCAACCTTGGTGTTAACAGAACATTTGAGGTTTAAATAAGTGCCAAAGCTCTGCCAATCCGTTTATTGCACTCTTCACACGGTTGAAACTGATCCCATGGTCATGGTTGACCAAGAGCGGTTTTCACACTGTGACAAAATGTTTTGGTAGAAAGTTTTCAAAACTGAGATGTCAAAGCAGTGCCCTCCATTTCAAAAATATATTGATGTGGAATCTTCTCACAAATGACCCTTCTGCACTGCAGCTTAGTCTGAACTCAGTGCAGCTCCTGAATGTGTTATAGCATCCATAGAATATTGTTCTCATTGCTACGGTCCTTGAATGGTGAGCTTGGTGGTGGTTCTATGGAGGCTGTGAGAACCCACTTAAAAAAAAAAAAACTGCTGCTGCTATTTTGCAATTGGTGGACCTGAGAAATTTTAAGCCCTCTCAAGTGTGTAAATTTTATATGTGTAAGCTCATTTTGAAATACGTGTGATTAGGATCATTTAATTATCCACAGAAAGGTTCGGTATTTGGTGGGCACTTGTGGCAAAGTTTCTAAGCAGCTTTGCTGGGGGGGGGGAGGAGGAATGCTACATTTTTATTGCCTTTTACTGGTGATAACAATATGCTGACTTAGAAGCCTTCCGAATGATCTTTAAACTTTTTGTGTCTGACTGTTACATGTCCGATATTTCTCCCCTTTGATCCAGTTTTTTAAATCAATGAATAGTCCTAAAGTCCAAGTCCACTAAAGCAGATGCTTGGATTCCACTTTAATGTCCCTGTTGAGTCTCTGATATTTAAAATCTCTTAGGGAACACTTGTCACTTCCTGTTGCTGACACTACCTTACACATGCTTTCCAAGCATAGGTGGGGACATGTTTTTAGCTTGAGGGCCACATGCTCTGACTGCCACCAAAGGGCTACCTGAGGACCACTTTGTCCTGAGGGGACGAGAAAGATAAGTGAGAACAACTCATGAGCTTCCCAGCACATAGCTCCTGGTGAGGTGGCCTTTCTTCTCCAAACTGCCACCACAGGGCTACTCAAGAGCCACCCTGTTCTGAGGGCTGGAGTGTTAAGAACGTAAAAATGAAGGGAAAGCCCTGATTTGATCTGACCAGAAACCCACCCAGTGGCCAACCAGTTGCCTCTGATTGGTAGTGCAGACAGGGGCGCACTGCTGACCTGACTTCCCAGTGCTGCATGTTGCAGATGGTTTCTGAAAGGGGTGGAAGGAGCCGAGCTTGGTGTGGTGCGAGTATGGCATCAGATTGTCTCTGCCACTGCACCAGCAGCAAGCTCCGCCCTGCCCCTTCCTCCTGGGTAAGCAGCAGTAGTATGAAACACTGGGAAATTACAGTCTGAAAAGCCCACAAGCAGGGCATGAAGACCTAGCACAGGCTTCCTCAACCTCGGCCCTCCAGATGTTTTTGGCCTACAACTCCCTTGATATGGGAACTGTAGTCTCAAAACATTGGGAGGGCCGAGGTTGAGGAAGCCTTCACTAGCACTTTCCTGATTATTTTTCCTAGCAACAGATATTTCTTTGCTTCCAGATTTTTTTTGGGGGGGGGGTTAATACTGCAAACAGGTCATTGAGATATCACAATTTGGACACTGGCAACAGGTGTTTTGTTTTTAATTATAGGATTTTTCTTCAGAAGTGTAAATCTGGACTAAATAGCAAATATGTGTGGGTGCTGCAAAAATCTTGTATGCAGCCACAGTAAATGTTCCGGAAGCAGCTTCTGATACTGATCATGGATAATAGCCAATGATAAGCTTGAATTTGGTGATCTAGATCTACCTTTCGAAAAAGGTTTTGTGTCTTTGCTTTTGCTTGTAGCTTATCTGTGGAGCTTTATTGTATATATATTTTAGTGGAAGCTTATTAGTTTAATTCTTTTATATAAACTGCTTCGCAAAATTCCGATGGAAGGCATTGTATAAATAGCTTAGATCAAACTAATAGGAGCATAATGATTATAAGGTAACAGCTAGGAAATCCCAGCTGAAATCTTGCCCCAGCAGTTGATTAATGAAGGAACCTTTATCCCACCCCTCAACCATAACCCACATAGACACTCCAACTGAAATAATATTGACCTACTTTCAAGGGAATATTTAAAGATTGCTGAGATAACTTATGGTATGTGGGGCACATTGTGTATACGCATACACACAAATGTTCAGTAGTAATATATATGGTGAATTCTGTAATATACTGTATCAGCAATGAACTGTCTCACAAGGCTCAGTGCCTGCTTCCCCTGGTATTGTACTGCTATCAATGAATGAAACAGAACCAGGCGGAAAGGGGCCATCCTTGCGTGACTCACTTAAGTTTTGCCATCGTGTTGGTAGAATTCTGTATGCTCAGCATCTGTTTGCTGCCTTTTATGGTGGGACTGAACAGATAACAAGGTGACTGAACGGACTTGCTCAACTTGTCTACATGTTAATGAGAAACTAATACTAATAAGAGGGCTGTCAGTAAATATGCTTAGGATTGCTCTATGCTGCAGGAAAAGACCATTTTCATATGTACATCATACAACTGTAGAGTTGGAAGGGACCACGAATGTCATCTAAGTCCAACCCCCCTGCAATTCAGGAATCTTTTGGCTTACATGGGCCTTGAACTCACAACCTTGAGATTAAGAATCTCATGCTCTACTGATTGAGCTATCCCAGTTACATAATTAAAATATGGTGGGCATTCATAAGAAGCTGGACATTTTTGGTTGTTGTAGCAACATTGGCAAATCCCTGCTACCCTCAAAAGGCCCACCTAAACCCAACACTGAATGATTATTATTTTAGACTGTCTGGCTTGTCAAAGAGGTTTTTTGGGTATGAGATGATTTCATTTATAGAATTACGGTATCCTCTTGCTGTTACATTGAGGCCCCTTTTAACCTGTTCATTGTTCTATGACCTTAAATCAGGATTGGGCAGTCTTCCGCCTTGCAGAATAGACTTTTTTGTTCACCAGACCCTTATGGTCCACCAGCCAGAACTGGTCACAGAATGGTGCCTTGAGAGTGAAACTAGCTGCAAGTACCTACTGCCTAGGATTGCCATATTTCAAAAAGTTCATCTTCATGTGCAATTACATCTTTCACTCACATCACCATGGCACTCATCCTTCCCCAGAATATTGGAGGTACGATCATATGCATTGATCGGAGCATATTGCAACAGCGTACAACCATTGCTACATATTTTGCGTGAGGCTCTCCTCACACAACTTTCCCCGCTTTCTGATGAGAAAGATTCAAAATTCACCAGTAAAAGCATGCTGGGTTACGTACTTCTGCTTTAGGTGCTCTGATGAGCAGCTGGCGAAAGCCAGTGCTGGTTTTTCAACTTTAGACACCCTACAAATTTGTAGAGCTATTGTGTAAACATTAACTGCTTAGCCTTTTGCTAAACAGGCATTTTTCACCAGCTCAAATTATTCCATCTGTTTGATCACGTCAAGCCCCACCCTTGAACCTGCCACAAGGTATGTTCAAAGATTGCAGAGTGCAATGCTGTTGCTTTATTAGAGCCCTCTGAGCATGGATGACTGAAGCAGATCAGCTCCAGGAACTACTTGTGAGAGGAGCATGTGCTAAACTTCAGTGTGGGGGAGAAAGCTTTCACTCACTTTCGTGGTTGATCAACAGGAAGAAGGTAAGCATCGAAATTAACTCTCTCCCAGTCAACATCCAGTGATGCTAAATAGCTAGTTTTTGCTGTTTAAAGATTATGGGGAAACAAAATAGCTGATAGCTGTTAAACACTGGTAGCGGATTAAGAATTGGTATATCTAAATAATAATAAAAATAGTTAGTGTTGAGTGAATACAAAGCAATCTGATGATGAGCAGGTGATCTAACAAATAAGTCTGCAATCATAAATGAAAAACCTGATTCTAGACCGCACTGAACCCAAAATTTCATTTCTGTATCATGACATAAGTTTCTTAAAGACTTCTCAGAGGGTACAGCAACTCTATTAGTTTTGAAGATGCCATGAGACTGTCTGCCTCTCGTTTCCTGTATGAATCCCCCCTGGAATTATTCATTTGAATGATCGATGGTTTATATCTGCTTTGGGAGCCGATCTCGATGGTAATCAATTCCTTTTTTGAAAACTCACTGTGTCCTTTTCTTGAGCGCGAGAGAAAGAGTTGTTCCACTTGTACCATTCAGTGACTGTTTATTATTATTATTATTATTATTATTATTATTATTATTATTATTACTGAACTGAAGCTACATATGGCAATTACAGATATAGATCAAAATACAGATCATACACAGCTTTCTCTTTGTACAGCGTTAAATGGTACCAGTGAACAATGTTATACAAATTGAAGGTCATATATACAATCGGTTAAACTGGAAAATTCTGTCAGATATCACTTTACCAACTCTTTGATTCTCCTCTCATGTGCTGCGCTGATGTTGTAAGCTTCAGGTAACATTGGACATGGTACATTCTTCACTTTTTGCCCTATCTTTCTGAATCTCTTGCACAGCATTATTGACATAAAGGTAGTGATGCATACGAGTGTCAGTCTGGAAAAGCTGTGAGGATCACAGGCAACGAATTTAATTATGGAAGTAGAACTGCTTATTGTTGTTTTAGTGGGAAAGTTGGGTTTTTAAAAAGTACTTTTGTGCAATTTCAAATCCGGCCTTGCCCGGAGGAACCTTATGCCTTCACACTAGGAAGTATTGTAATGAAAACTCATTGCAGCCATGCTTACTGCCAGCAAGAAACAAAGAGTAGTTCCCACAACTGTTTACAAAAGCACATGCCGTATGATGTCACGACTAGATAAAAAAGGATAGTGAACAAAATGCTTAGAATTATGGGAAGCAGAACTACCGTATTTTTCACTCTATAGGACGCTCCACAAGACACACCTAGTTTTTAGGGGGGGAAATCAAGGGAAAAAAATCTTATTTCCCCCCCGCCCCAGCCACAAAGAGCAAAGAAGCCAAGACAGTGAGCGGGATCCATCCCACTGGCTGTCTTGGCTTCCTCTTTAGCCGCGCGCAACCTCTCCAGCCGGGAGAGGCTGCGCGCGGCTTTGGCAGAAGCCAAGACAGTGAGCGGAATGGATCCCGCTCACTGTCTTGGCTTCCTTTTTAGCCGCAGGGCTGGGGTGGGGGAAGCCCGAGCTCCAGCCCCCAGAGCAGGTCCGGGAGCAGTGGCAAGGTTGTGCGCAGCCTAGCCTCCACTCCCAAAGCTTGCGGGGCTGGGGGCGGGGGAAGCCCGCGCTTCCTCTGACCCCAGCCCCCAGAACAGGTCGGGGAGCGACGGTCCCTTCTCCCTCCTGGGGAAAAGCCCACAAGAGCCGCGTGAAGCTTGTGTGCAGCTCTTGGGGGCTTTTCCTGCCTGCCTCCCCCCTGCATTCGCTCCATAGGACGCACAGATTTTCCCCCTTAGTTTTTAAGAGGGAAAAAGTGCATCCTATGGAGCGAAAAATACGGTACTTTTCTGCTCTGATTTTGATATGTTAGCCTGAGTCAATGTACTACTGCTAGGGAAATGATGGAGCACCAACAGAATTTTCAGGGCTCATTATGTCGACTGGACCCTCCATTTAACATGCAAAAGAGAATACCAATTGGCATATGTTTGGTGTTGTGCGCAAAATTGCATACCATTTTAGTGGGTTGGGTGGAGGGCCCAAAAATATCTATCCGAGACCACACAACAAGCTATTAGATGTTTGACAGACAGAATGTCAACAGGTGAAGCGTTTCCCATAATGAAAATTGAATTTCTGCCTGCCACACAGCTGTGAAAAGCACAAGATGCCTGCCTTCCCCCAGTGCCAACCCTGAACAATGCAAAGAATTCAAGTTTCATGAGCTGTAAACCAGTTACATTACTGTAATGTCTTTCATTAGTTTGCCTCTGGCTGGCAATACTGTATTCAGTGCAAAACCAGGCAGGGCGTTTCAGGTGGCAGGTGTGTATGCATGCATCAAAAGAGATTTAAGATTATCAGTATCCCAAGTTCAGGTGCCCATATGTGGATCAGTTAAATATTAAACCATTAAAGAACATTTCTTGTGCTTCTTTACGATTTAGACCTCACAGTAACTACAGCAATGCTATCAACACAGGTCAGTCACCCTCTTATTTTACTTTGAGAAAAAAGGGGTTTGAGCCTTTGACATGAATATACCCATAATTTTAGAGTTTATTCCAACAGCAACCTCTTCCACCATTATCCTATTCCCCCCTCATGGTTGGGAAAGCAAATATTTCCCCTCCTCCCCATGTTGCTGCTAAATCAATTTGACAGACCCCTCCTCTGTTTGTGTTTCCTTAGAGCTTTATAACAACACTGAATACAGAGTAGTAATTCACTACCCTCTCTCAGCACCCCTGTTCTATAACATTAGTACAATAATACTGCACCACTTTGTAGGGCTGAGTTAACCTATCCTTTCTCAACCAGAATACCAACCTCCCTACAATACGGCTATACTGTATTTTTCGCTCTATAGGGTGCACCGGACCATAGGGCGCACCTAGGTTTTTTTTGGGGGGGGGAATAAAGAAGAAAAAAATTATTTCCCCCTACCCCAGCCCCAAGAGCAAAGAAGCCAAGACAGCCAGCGGGATCCATCCCGCTGGCTGTCTTGGCTTCCTCTTTAGCCGCGCGCAACCTCTCCAGCCAGGAGAGGCTGCGTGCGGCTTTGGCAGAAGCCGCGGGCAGGGGCGAGGGAAGCCTGAGTTTCCCCCGACCCCAGCCCCCAGAACAGGTCCGGGGGCGGCGGCAAGTGCTGCGGATAGCTGCCCGAAGCCCAGGGAGCGCAGCGCTGCGTTCCCCGGGCTTCAGGCTGCAGTCTGCTATCTGCAAGCCTTCGGAGCCTGGCGGGAACTCCCGCGGGCTCCCCAGGCTTGCTCATAGCTTCCTGAAGCCTGGAGAGCGAGAGGGGTCGGTGCGCACCGACGCCTCTCGCTCTCCAGGCTTCAGCGAAAGCCTGCATTCGCCCCATAGGACGCACACACATTCCCCCTTCATTTTTGGAGGGGAAAAAGTGTGTCCTATAGAGCGAAAAATACGGTACTAATGATGGATTTTTGTTGTATCTGCATTTGCAGAGTGTTTAAAACTAGAACAAAATAAAATAATGTATGCACAAAAAGGAGGGGAAAACACATTGGGCTGATAGTGCATCAAGGAAGACCCAAAATCTGACTAGAAAGAAATAGGAAGCCCTTCCTTCTCCGTTCAGAACCCCTTTTTAAGTATTCTTTTGGGAAGCCTCTGCATTTCATTCTAGCACTCACAGATCTGACTTCACTCATTGGCTAAAAGCACTGAAAGGCCCAGGGGCAGGTTCATAGCTAGCAAAGCAGTTTCTTTAAATGGTGCTTGCATGTTTTGCTTCACAACTTTTATTTTAAAAGAGCCAGAGACCCTGTGCAGTAAACTAAAGTTTATGGACTGAACAAGGGAAGCCCTACATAGAGTGCAGCGCATTCATCTAGCCTTGAAGTTACCAGTGCCTGAACTACTATGATCAAACTATCTTGCTTCAGGAATAACCGTAGCTGCTGTATCAGCCAAAGCTGATAAAAAGAACCTATGTCATTAACAGCCTGATAGGCTATAATTAAGCAGGTGTTTCCAGATGTGGAGATAACAGGGATAGAAAAGTTTCACCTGCTACATTGTAGGTTACTCTTAAAGTAGCAGAGGCAACAAAAGAGCCAGCCACTTGGAACACAAGTTCCAATGAAGAGAAAAAAATGACATAACAACAGACAGGCAAGTTTCGACACTTACACCAGAGTTTAGGATTACATGCATGTGCCTCTGTTTTTGGTATTCCTCCTTTCCTGTCTTCTGCCACTATGCCTGCAGGGAAGAGATCAAAAGCTTTTGCTTTCAGGTAATTGCAGCTTATTATACCAACTTACAATTATAAGTGGTAAATCTTAGATATGATTTAAGGAAACAAGCTAACTTAATAAACCATGGTTGGCCTGTTTCCCTAAACCATAAAACTAATTGGAATTTGACCAGGTTCAGATAGAACAACAGTCCACAGTTAATGAAAAATCGCTGAGCTCGAAGCTTGCAGTCTCGTCGCTGCTGCAGTGAGCTGTTGCCCGAGGCTCCTTCACATAATAGTAAATCAACCTTTCCCAACCCGATGCCCTTCCAGCATTGCTGGACTGGAGCTCCCATCAGCCCCAGCCACCAAGACTAATGGTCCAAGGTGGTAAAGTTGCAGTCCAAAACAACTGGAGGGCATCAGTTTGGGGAAGGCAGCGCTCAGTCATTGTTTAGCATCATATTCAAACCATAACATAGCTGGGACAAAGAGGGCAAGTAGCAGAAGCAGATGCAGATTACGGAGGTTGAATTATATGATTCATGAACCATCCCATGCACCTGGGATTAAGCTCCATTGAGCTCAGTAGAACGTCTGAATAAATATGCATAGGCTAGGGGGTGAACCGCTTGGACTTCATGGACTTTCACATACAAACCCCATCCTCTCTGCAGTGAAATTAAAAATTATATGTAAGTGAGTTCAGAATAGTTCTTTATCCTGTGTGGTGACTCTGTATTCCCTTGTCACAATTCTAGGCAATTATGTTAGTTTGTTTTTAAATAGAGATGAAGGTCTTAAGCTGGAAATAAAAGCAAC